CCACAAAACAAAGAAGAGTTCTGGGCTTCAAAGCTGGCCTCAGACCAGACCTTAATCACAGCCTAAGAGCAAGGACAAGAGCCTGCTTCACCATCTCGTCTGCTCCTGTAGAAGTCACCAGCAAACTTTAGAACAGGAACTTGTTTCTCTCTGGCAGAGTACTAATCTTGTCTCTATTTTTTAACAGAAGAGATTTTTTTGTGTCATTATTTTCAGTGCTGGGGATTGGACAGGGCCTTGCACATCCTACAAAAGTCCTGAATCACTGAATTACAGCCCCAGGCCCTGGCTTTTTGAGACTTGATCGTCAGACTTCCCATACAGCCCAGGCTGGCCTCAGTTCTCAGCCTCCCCGCTTCCACTTCCTGAGTGTTGGGATTACAAGCATGTGTCATTACATCTGCTGAAGTGTCCTTTTACCAAATCACATACTGCTGCCTGCCATTTTGAGATCATTAGTAGCTCAGAAAGTTCTGGTCTGCCATCCACTCACTTCATGCATGTTTTAATAAAATTCCTGATAATGACAGTTTGAAGTTAGCACAGCCCTTTTCTAAGTAAGTCTTCTCACTACCAAGTGCCTCCCATGGTAGTCGAACCTAATAAACGCTATCACACTCTAGACTAGTCAGCCCCACCACATACCGACCTTCCCCGAAGATGTACTGAGACCTTGTGTTTTCAAGTTCTGAGCGTCTCCACCAAAAACCTGCCTTTCAGACTGAGGTGTTCCCTGTGCATAGTTCTGACCAGCACTGTCGTGGAGTTTCCACATGATCCATAAGGAAGAGATTTTTTTTTCTTCTCTTTATTTTATTTCATTTCATTTTATTTTGGTAATCACAGCCTAAACCTTCCAGAAATAATAACCAGCAAGACAGACTACCAGTGACATTTGCATGCAGTGCTCTGCTAAATGCCACTCAAAACATCACATGGGGGCTGGAGAGATGGGTCAGTGGTTGAGTGCTTCCTGCTCAATCATGGGGATGAAGTTCAGATCCAAGCACCCACCCCAGGCAGCTTACAAATGACTGGAACGCCAACTCAAAGATGCCTTCTGGCTTCCACAGGCGCACACACACGTAAAATAAATAAATAAAAAAATACATTGACTAATTCTGAGATACCTTGAAATGGCAGCTTTAATGAATTAGATCTGTTTCACTTGGGACTGTATTTGAGAGATCTAGGGAGGTGAGACCCCCTGAAGCCTGAATTTTACAGAACTGATTATAAATGAGGCAGCTATACTGCAGGACAGAGACTCAAGGAAGTGCAGTCTTTAGAAGTGAGCCTCACAGTTGTAAGTCACCTGCCAGACTGGAAGAACCCAGAGCAGGGGTTATCTCTTCTTTGAACCTGTGGCACAGGTGTTGAGAGGACCAAGTGGTCCCAATCAGCCTACAGTCAGGCCGCCGCTTGGGGAGTTATGTCAGAGTCTCACCCCAAGCCGTCTTCCTCCTAAAACCAGCTTAAAGGCTAAAGGCAAACAAATCCCTTTTGAAACAGGAGCCTGTTTAAGATGTCTTTACTAAAATCCTCTCTGAACCTTTAGCTGTGATGTCATATCATTTCTTTCCTGTGAGTCTAAGTCTGGGCCATTACCACTGTAAGGAATTATGTCTCGCCCCCTGAAAAGCTCCATTCAGTTTCCCACGGTGTTAATGTGGTACTAAGGGGATTTGCTGAATTTCTACCTGAGGCAGTCTTTCATTTCATACCCACTGCTAAATCATTCCCTGCCTTTCCTGGGTGAGAAGCTTGTTGTAGGATGGCTGACCAGTTTGGGCCAGAGCAGCAGAATTTACACTCAAATTTTCTCCAGAATGAACTGATGTGTCTCTCGACCTGTTTAACTTTGTTTTGAAATGAGAGTGGAGGTTATTTTATATTTTTATCATCTTTATATCCAGTGGCCAAATGTTTCTTTGAAAGACTTTATTCAAAAATAGAAAGTGCTACATAATCCTAGATTCGGATGACATTAGCCTTTGAAATGTGTCTCTTCTTAATTTGCAAGTCTGCCTTTGCTCTTAGCTTCCAAACCATAGATCTTGAGTTTGACTGTTAAAAATTGGTTGATTCACAGGGTGTGGTAGCACATCCCTTTAATCCCAGCGTCTTGGAAGGCTGAGGCAGGTGGATCTGTATGAGTTCCAGGTCAGCCAGGGCAACATAGTGAGACCTGGTCTCAAAATAAAAAAGTTGATTGTACATTTTAGACCAACTGCAGACATTAAAATTTTAAAACTTAATCTATCTGGATCAAAGGGAAACCTTTGGATTTCCTTTAAAAATTAAAACCTCCCATGAAGAAAGTTTAAAAGAGGCATAAACCAGCACAGTGGAAGAGCTAACTGCCTACTAGTTAAGAGCAGCTTGAGTCAAAGAGTTGATTTTGCAATAAGGACTGCTGGGACTAGGTGGGAAGCATTAAGATGAAGGATCCTAGAGGTCCCTGTAGAAAGTCGTATCAGCCCCCAAGTCTGTTTTCCTATGCCCAGGCTTCCAGTAAGTAGAGAAAGGTTAATTAACATACACAGAGTATCTGCCTCATGTTAAGCTTGGAACAAATTCTTTTCATTTTTCCTGTTAGTTGCTGGAGTGTGTATGATTCACCTGATTTTATAGATGAGGAAACCAAAGTTCATGCAATGTGTCTGCACAAAGTGAGGATTTGGAACTTAAGTCCTGCTGACTTCAAACATCCTGAACTGATCATCTCTGAGCTTATGCCTGCTTCCCTGCAACTCTGGGTCTGGCCTGTGCTGGGAGGGTAGGAAGATGGTAACACTGGACTTACTCAGGGAGAGAGGCTGCATTTCCTTAAAAGGGAAAGAAATAGGCTGTGGCCTTGTGTAATTACAGAATGTAACAGTAGGTGGCAGTACAAGCCTGTTCCAATTGCAATCCCAGCACAATTGCAATCCCAGGCCCAAATCAGGTAATCACCCCACCCCCAGGTTCTGTATTTTCAATCAAATAAATCTTTTTAGTTGTTTTGTTTCGTTTTGTTTTTTTGAGACAGGGTCTTACTATGTAGCCCTGGCTAGGCTGGAGCTCCCTATATAGACCAGGCTGACCTTGAATTCACAGAGCTTCCTGCTGCCTCTGCCTCCCAAGTGTTGGGATTAGCGTACACCACCACACCTAGCTCAAATAAACATTCTTTTTTGGGGGGCGGGGGGATCTTTTTGAGACAGGGTCTCCCTGTAGCCCCAGCTGTCCTGGAACTCACTATGTAGACCAGGCTGGCCTTGAACTCACAGAGATCCACCCGCCTCTGCCTCCCAAGTGCTGGGATTAAAGGCATGCGCCACCACGCCCAGCTCAAATAAACATTCTTAAATCAGTCATATGAACATTGTGTGCAAAGCTTCCCAACCATCAGAATGAGAGTAAAAAAGCAAGCACAGATGTCAGATGTGAGGTAAGTTGCTTGCTGCGTTTTCTCCTGTGGTACAAATAATGCCAGAGCAGTCAGTGTCCTCTGCCGCAGAACGAGCTGAAACTGGCTTGCTGTGATCCCTTCTGGTGTGTGCCTGTCTCCTCCACCTTTTGCTTATCTGTAAGACTGGAGTCCTAGAGATGCTGAGAAGCTTTAACACCAAACAGTACTGAAATGTGTTCATGTTCTACTCAATTTTCTATTGCTGTGATAAAACACATTGACCAGAAATAACTTAGGGAGGAAAGGGTTTACTTGGCAGTCCGCTATCGAGGAAAGCCCTGGAGGCAGGAACTGAAGCACAGACCATGGAGGAGCACCTGTGTTTAGCTTGCTTTCTTACACAGCCCAGGACCACCTACCCAGGGGTGGCACCACCCACAGGGGGGCTGGACCCGCCCTCTTCCCTGTATCACTCAACAATCAAGAAAATGCCTCACAGACATAACCACAGGCAGTCTGATAGAGGAAATTCCCCAGTTGAGGTTCCCTCCACCCAGGTATGTCAAGTTGACAACTGAAGCAATCCAGCACAGTTCACCTTCAAAAGAAAGTTAGGCCCAAGAGCTGAGCCCATACTCTGGCCGAGCTCATGGCCGAAGGCTACCCTTTTATGACTCCACTTCCAACAGCATCCTTCAGAATCCACACTGATGTAATGAGCTACCAAGGAGTGTCCTTCCCTAGTCTGAAGAACCACTGTGTTCTAACACTCCTCTGAACACCTGAGATCCCCTTGAAGTCTCTCTAGGTGAAGTTATGGTATCTTTCTCCTTCAATGATATTTAACAACAAATAGTACTGAAATGTGTTCATGTTCTATTCATTTTTCTATTGCTGTGATAAAACACTTTGACCAAAAATATCTTAGGGAGGAAAGGGTTTATTTGGCTTATAGCTCATGGTCCGTTATCAAGCAACTGCATGAAATAAAGGTTTCCTTTTCCTTCAAGCAACCCTGTCTTCCTAGAGGGAAATGGAGACTCTTCAGAGAGCTGTGGTGCTGAGTGCTGGTTCTAATGAGCTTCTTTGGGTTGTCCTCCTAGAACAGGACCCTGAATGATACTGTACTACTTTATTTGACTGAAGATTGTATCCATCTTGATTGACAGAACTGTAAACTTGATGACTCAAAACAATTTTGTCTGCATAAACTGTGGGTTTGGCATTATACTGGGTTCTATAATATATGACTTTAACTGTGAAATTGATGTGGAAAAGGAATGGGATACTTTTGGGACATCCTCTGTTAAGAGTTGCCATTTATATGTGGAGAGTAATCAAGACAAGCATAGTGGTCCACATGTCTAATCCCAGCATAGTGGTCCACACGTCTAATCCCAGCATAGTGGAAACCAAGGCAGGGGCTCTAGCCCAGACTACATAGCAAGACCATGTCTGAAAAAGAAGTGTAGAATAATCTTTTACTCATTTCTGCATGTGAAGAACACATGCACCTGTTTTCTGTCAGCACGGCACACTGTTTAGTTGCCTATAATCAGATAACTAATAGCTAAGTAGAATTAGTGTCCTGTTTGCTTCTTCCCAGACTCCAGAGTGGGATGAACCTACAGATATGTTTTGTCAATGACAGCGGCAGTGACAAGGACAGTGATGCAGATGACAGCAAGACTGAAACCAGCTTGGACACCCCATTGTCGCCCATGGTAAGTCCACAGCCACCAGCTGAAGCATCGCCTTGACTCTTTCCTGGTCATTTGGCTTCCATTCAAGAATAACCATTCTGAGGGTGAGAAGAGAAGTGTGTTGGGATTGCATGCTTCAAGAATTTGACAACCATTGAAAAATCAAAGAAGTGACACACTAAAGATACATATTTTTTTTAAAGTTAATGACTACTTTCATGTTAAACCATGAGAGATACCACATTTGCTCTTAGAAATCACAAAAGGACACCGGGCATGGTGGTACGTGCTTGTCAGTCCCGCACCTGGGGGCTGTGGCAGGAGGATCACAAGTTTGAGGCCAGCTTAGGCTATGTAGTGAGTTCAAGGCTGACCTGGGCTAGATGAGGAGAACCTGTCTTAAGGGAAAATATGCCAAATAAGAATCCTTCCTCATTAGGGTTAGACATGTGAGTTCAGTCCTTTCCCTCATATTACAGAAGTTGGTTGAATAATAGTGAATGCTTGTTGCTGGAATTTTTTCCCTCCGTGCTATCTTCGTTCACCGTTTATACCAAAGACTAACAACTGTGTTGGTTACTGAGCATCAGAAGTCGTAGATATCCAAGACACTCTGAAGACCAACACAGTGCACTAGCTCTGGGTTCAATTATCTATTTTTATTTTATTGTATGAGTGTATTGCCTGCATGTATGCAAATGCATCTGTATCATGCAGTGCTCTTGGAGAGCAGGAGAAGGTGTCGGATACCCTGGAATTGGACTTACAGATGGTTGTTAGCCCCCATAACCGAACCTGGGTCCTCTGCTAGAGCATCCAGTGCTCTTAATCACCGCGCTATCTCTCCGTCCCCTGGGTTCAGTCATTTAACAAGCCCCACTAATAGTTATACTGTTCTATTTGTGGAGGTCATTATAAGGGGCTGAAGAGAGGGCTCAGCAGTTAAGCTATTATAAGGGGCTGGAGAGATGGCTTGCAGAGGACCCAGGTTCAATTCCCAGCACATACATGGCAGCTCACAACTCTCTCTAACTCTGGTTCCAGGGGATCTGACACCTTCTTCTATTCTCTAAGAGCACCAGGCATGCAAAGGTGCATATACATACATGCATGCAGGGCAAACACTCATACACATAAGATAAATAAATCTTTTCTTAAGTAATGATAAATAAACCTTTTATGTTTCTTGAGATTGCCATAGGTGAGACCAGGTGGTGTATGGAATTGCTGGAGGGTCCTCCTGGCTGTGCTAAGAGAAGACCCAGAATGCCAGTGCCATCACGTGGTAACTGGAGAGAAATCTCAGGCTGCTCTTTCTTCCTTCGCAGAGCAAACAGAGTTCTTCCTATTCTGATAGAGACACTACTGAGGAGGAATCTGAATCCCTGGATGACATGGACTTCCTTACCAGGCAAAAGAAATTGCAAGCCGAAGCCAAAATGGCCCTGGCCATGGCCAAACCAATGGCCAAAATGCAAGTAGAAGTGGAGAAACAGAACAGGAAAAAGTCTCCCGTCGCTGATCTTGTAAGCTACAGTCTCGTATGCAAGCAAGCATTCGGGGGCTACAGATGGGTTCTTTCCCAGAATTATGCAAACTTGGGTTTCTCTGAGGCAATTTTGTGGAAAGCACTGGCATTGAGACATTAACTGCATTTGTTTCCTTTTCCTTCCCACTTTACACTGAAAAGTGCATCAGCAACAGATTTCACAGACGTAAACTCTGCCCTTGATTCAGGTCTCTTGTGTTTCTGGGGGGCAGTACTGACTGTCATAGGAATCTTTTCATTCCTTTAACGCATTCTTGGCTTAGGGACCTGTTAATGTTGCAGCACACTGTTGTTATAATTCTCCTTCCTGCCTTTAAAGGGACACAATATGGCATAGTGAATTAGAGCCCTGGACTTTGGAGTTACATTTAGCCCTGTCATGGGCCTGCTGTAGGATTCTGGGCAAGTGGCTTAAGTGTCAGCTTTCTTCATGTGTGCAATGTGGATAACAAAGACTGGGTAAGGGGTGGGATAGTTGAGGACTCAGGGAAAACATCCAGGGCATCCCACATCATGCTGGTGGTGTAGTGTAAATTATTAAACAGCAGCTGATGTTATTAATTTTATCCATGTCAGTCATGTTACTTAATGCTCCCCAGTAACTCATTTGAGTGAAAGACCAATGAGAAAGCCTGTGAGGCAGTTAAGGTATCATCTTGGATGGGAAGAGGATGTTAGGAAATGTTGATACAGGGCTCCTGTTGAGATGGTCAGAGGCTGGGAAAACTTTAAAACATAGAGCCTGGTTAGACGTGGATGAATGAGGATGGGTCTCCTAAGAGCAGATGGGTCTTATGTTCAGGTCTTTGCAGCTCCACTCATACCTGCTTCGTCTCCTCAGCTGCCCCACATGCCTCATATAAGTGAATGCTTGATGAAGAGAAGTTTGAAGCCCACCGACCTGAGAGACATGACTATTGGGCAGCTACAAGTCATTGTCAATGACCTCCATTCCCAGATTGAAAGTAAGTGGGAGATCTGCTTGGAAATAAAAGGGTCAAGATGTAAAGCGTTGATAGGACAGACTGCTTTGTCAAATCAGTTCTTTTGTACGGTGCTTTCTTTGGGCTGTTTCTGTGTGTTTGCAAAGAAAGCAAGAGAATCACAAGGCTCTTTTTTGTTTCTCGTGTTGTGTATGTTTTACAACTATAAATGTCAGAAGCTTTCAGAATTTTTCAGAGTTCACCATGGTTACGGGTCTTTTTTATTTGTCTTAAATCGCTAGCTCCCAGCACAGTGCATGCACTTAACTCACATCTGTTTCTGGAATACAATTTACAGGTCACTTATTATATAATTGTACCTTCTACTTTTCTCGTGCCTACATTTGTTTTAGGTATCATCATTGTCAGTAGCATCAAATTAGACTTATTTTGTGGGATTCTAGGTGGTGAAAGTATATTACCAAAAGTAAAAATTAGAGTTACAAAGTATGGGCTTTTTCCCTCAGTATAAAGAATGTCCTCAATAGTAGTGACCAGAGGGCATGGGTTTGTGGGAATGGTGCTCACTCAGGATCATCTTTCAGGGACCTGGCAGTGATTGGCCCAGTGAAAGACAAGTATCCCCATGAGGCAGTGTGATTGGCTAGATGAAGTCACCAGCCCTCAAGGCCCCAGACTCTGTATAATCCTTTAGACTTAGAGATCAAAGCAATTCCAAGAGGCAAGAGTCATACCCACCAAATTCCTTCAAACAAACCATTTTTTAAAATTACATTTCTAGAGCTAGAAAGATGACTCACCAGTTAAGAGCCCCAGCTGCTCTTGCAGAAGACTCAGGTTTGTTTCCCAGCACCCACATGGCAGCTAACAACCATCAGTAACTCCACTTCCAGGGGATATGTCGCCCTCTTCTGGCCCCTGTGGGCATTGCACACAAGTGATGCACTTGACATACATGCACACAAAACACTCATACACATAAAATAAATTTAAATATTTTAAATATATTTCTGAGCCACACAGGGAAATTTAAATACTGATTGAATGTTTTATTGAGGTTTCATTTATTTATTTTAGGTTTGCTAAAGGTATTGCAATCTTGTGAATGTTTCCAAGCCCTTTTAGAGATATATGCTGATGCATTTATAGATGAGCCGATGTATTTCTGTAATTGCTTTAAAATGATCCAGTAGCATCAGGAGAGAGAGATGATTCAAGACTGGTCATGAGTTGATCATTATTAAAGCCAGTAGACTACCTGGGGAATTCATAAAGCAATTCTCTTTGCTGATATATCAGTTTGAAATTTTCTATAATAAAAAGTTTAAAACGTAGTATAATGGGGAGAAAACAAAAACAAACCTGTCCGATATGTAAAAACTCTCGAGTGCTACTAGAAAACCTACCCAGGCACAACTGGAAAAATTAAATTTTTTCACTAGGTCCAAATAAAATATTAGATATATTCAGTGTGACGGTAACATTTTAGATAAAGAGAAGGGATTTAAGATTTTAATTTGAAAACCATAGATTCGCAATTTTTTAAACAATCTACAACTTTAATTTCATTTAATTATGAAATTAATTGCTTGCTCACATTCAGGGACTGAAAAGACTTTCCTGGGTTTTACCATTGAAACATCTTCCTTAGACTCTTTAATAATAAGTTGCCGTCTAGTCCTTATAAGAGCAGGTGGAATTTTAGACCTCTGTGTATGATTTTCTCCCGTTTTAAAGTTGGAAACTAGACTAATCTGAAGGCACACAGACAGATGGATCATTTGAGGTCAGAGTCTCTAAAAGCACTTCCAAGGGGGTCTGTCAGAACAACCCCAACTCCTTCCTTTTGTCTCCCTGTACAGAGCTCTTTGCAGTGTCTGGGCCTTCTTACCTTCCATGGAGAAAAGTAAGAGAGAGCCTTTTGTTCATGTTTTTCTGGGGCAGGAGCCACATTAACCCAGCACGCTGACTTCAAGAGGGTTAGCAATATTTCCATCTGTGTATATTTTATTTCCTGGCCATAAATGGAAGAACTGAGGAATATTTTCCTTGATACTCTGTTTTCCAGAGATTATTTTTTTCAAGTCTTATATATCCAACTGTTCCAGAAATCTAACTTTCCAGTATTTTCATATAATACTTTTCTTGTTGATCAGATGTTGTTTTGTCTTTCTTGTTTTTTGAGACAGGATCTCCCTGTAGGCCTAGCTGGCCTGGAACTCACTGTGTAGACCAGGATGGCCTCAATCTCACAGAGATCTGCTTGGCTCTGCTTCCTGACTGTGGGATTAAAGTGTGTGCTACCACACCTGGCCCTATATAATGCTTTTTTAAAACTCTTTAAATTTTTTTTTACTTATTTATATTTTATGTGTATGAGTGTTTTGCCTGCGTGTTATGGGTACATGGAAGTGCACCCATGTTGTGCAGTACCCACAGAGGTCAGAAAAGGGTGTTGGATCCCCTTGAACTTGGGTTACAGGCAGTTGCAAGCCACCATGTTGATACTGGGAACTGAATCTGGGTCCTCTGCAAGAGCAGCCAATGCTCTTAACCACTGAGCCATCTCTCCAGCACCTCATCTAATGCTTTTTCTCAGAGCATTTCCTCTTCCTACAGCCACCAGAAGGCTGTGAGCGTCACCGGCATACCTGCCTCTCCCAGCTGGTATCACATACATGTAGCACTTTGGGGCACTGAGGAGTTCCTCCAATCCAGAGCAGAAGAGCATCCTAAAGACCAAGTGTAGGAAAATGAATGTGTCCTGGACATTGCCATGCACATTTTTTTAAAGTCCTTCCAGCATTTTCTAACAAGCTGTGTTTCTAGCAGCTAACAATTTCTTTTCCTAGTGTGATAGAATGCAACTGAAAATACAGACTGAACATTCTAAATATGAAATGCAGAATGCTCTGACATGCCCAAAGAATTTCACATTTTGGAAGATTTTAGATATCAGAGTTTTAGATTAGGGATGCTTAACTGATTTTTAAGTATGTATAAATATTCCAAGACTCGAAACACTCAGATATGTAAGAGATTTCTGGTCTTATGTTTCAGGTGAGAGATATGCAGCTTGTATTTTACTCCTTTTCCTTCAACACTCCTTTAATTTTATGAACAGATCACATTTCTCCAATGGACATACAAGCTGAAACAAGAAATCTACGTTAAAAGTAAATCTTGGGGCTGGAGAGATGGCTCAGCAGTTAAGAGCATTAGCAGCTCCAGCAAAGGACCCAAGTTTGGTTCCCAGCACCCACATGGCAGCCAACAACCCTCCTTGACTCCAGTTCCAGGGGATCCGACACCCTCTTCTGGCCTTTGTGGGCATTGCACATTCATAATGCACCTACCTACATGCAAGCAAATTACTCATATACCTAAAATAAAAATTAATTGACTAAAACATTTTTTAAATTAGAAAAAAATCTTGAGGCAGGGGAGATGGCTCAACAGTTCAAGTCCTTGCTGCACAATCATGAGGTCCTGAGTTCAGATCGCCAAAAACTCATGTAAATGCAGGGCGAGTGTGGCAGCCAGCCTATAATGAGAGCCTCAGAAGGCAGAGACAGGGGATCCCCATAACAAGCTAGCTAGCCACAATAGGCATTTTGGGGAACTCTGGGTTTGATTAAGAGACCCAGCCTCAAGGTAGAAGAGGATTCCCAATAGGAACCTTGAGCCTACACACACACACACACACACACACACACACACACACACACAAGCATGCACACATACACACATGAAAAATGGAAAAATAGATCTGTGGTGTTTATATGTATGCACCTTGTGTCTATGAACTTGCACACAGCCCATATGTATCACAGGCCATATGTAGTTATGTTTTGACTTGATCTGGCTTCCAATGCTCCCTCCTTTGCCCTAGGCTTGAATGAAGAGCTGGTCCAACTGCTCCTCATCCGAGATGAGCTGCACACAGAGCAAGATGCCATGCTGGTGGACATTGAAGACTTGACCAGGTCAGTCTGGCTTCCCCCTACCAAAGGAAGAAAGAAGCCCAGGGCAGACGGAGGTTGAAATGGTTAACCAGGGCAAGAATTAGCTCTAGAGCACTTAATCCCTTACTTCTGTGCTTAATTCACCAAACCCCTATGACCTCACAAAATGCATTGTTTTCTTTGAATCTTTGTGTGGATTTAGGTGTTTGTGTGAGGACTCGCAGGCATGTGCTGTGATGCACATGTGGAGGTCACAAGACAGCCTCAAGTATCATTCTTCACCTTCCATTTTGTTTGAGACAGGATCTATTGTTCGCTGCTTAGAATACCAGGCTAGCCGACATTCAGGCTTCCAGGGAGTCTCCTGTTGCCCCCACCCATCATTGCCAGAGGAACACTAGAGCTTTAGACACATGCCTGCATCCAGCTTTACATGGCTTCTGAACTCAGAGCCTCACATTGTTCCTCAGGTTCTTTACCACTGAGCCAACTCCCTAGGCAAGGAATGTTTTAACAAGCGTGCTCCCCTGTGGTGATTTCAATGCATGAGAGATTCCTACACATTGCCTCAACTCAGGGCATCAATTCCGGCCTAGGCCAACTTCATCCTGAAGAACTGTCCCTCTAGGGAAGTTGGCTCTCAGCCATTACACACTGCTGTTTCCAGCGCAGGAGTAGCCACAGGGTTGGTGCAACAAAAAGGTTGTTATGTGGCCCAGCTGTTGATCATCTCTGCCATGCCCAGCGAGCAGGGGCTCTAGCATTTTCCATAGCCCCAGTGCTACCAGATTGTTCTCACGGTGAGAAACGATAGGATTTGAGTGTCTTTCTGGACAGGGCTCTAGCCACTTGGCCATAAAGTGGTAGTGAATGCAGCCCTCCCTAATGGACAGAGAAGCCAGGCAGCTGCTAGTTAAGATAGTCCACATAGTGGCATCCCATATAGAAAAGCCTGTCATACATGTACAGTGTGTATCATGCATGTGCATTACAGGTGAAGTATATAACCCACACAAAATTCTACAAATATTCCTATGGTTTCAAATGAACAGTGGCGCTTTTCTAAGATAGTCTATATGACCTCTTTTTTTTTTGGTCTTTTTGAGGCAGGGTCCCCCTGTAGCCTCAGCTGTCCTGGATTCACTATGTAGGCCAGGCTGGCCTTGAACTCACTGAGATCCGCCTGCCTCTGCCTCTCTAGTGCTGGGATTAAAGGTATGCACCACCATGCCCAGCATGATCTCTTTTTTAAAATATTCATTTTTATTGTTTTTAATTATGGGATGTGTGTGCATGTGACCACAGATCCCCAGGAGCTGGGTATACAAGTTTTTGTGAGCTGCTCAACCTAGGGACTGGGGGTCCTCTATAAGAGCAATCAATAGGAGATCACAACCACTGAGCCATCTCTCCAGCCCTCACACATGACGTTTTTAAACCAAGAGACAGCGATTACTCTTCATCCCAGAAATGTATTCAGATAGTACAAGGCAGCTGCCCAAGAGAGAACACTGCAGTGGTAATGCTCTCAGTCCGCAGGACCTTGTCTGGGTGTCTACAACTTTCTAGTGATGCAGTGTTGTTGAGATCATTTTTGTAACAAAACAAACACTGCAAAATGTGGAGGTTCATTTTCAAGGCTCACAGCACTCTGTTTTGCACGCTTTAGTATTTTTTTTATTCTTCCATTTTTCCGTGTTTGTATGTTATGTGTATACTTGTTTCCTTGTGTATACACACGTAGGTGGGGGCCCGAAGTTGTTTTGAGAATCATCCTCAGTCGATAGATCCCCCTTCCACTTTATTCATCAAGGTAGGGTCTCTTAGTCAAACCCAGAGCTCACAGATAAGGCTGGTTTGGCCAGCCAGCTTGCTCTGGAGATCCCAATTCTTCTGAGGCTAGAATTACAGATGGGCTACCATGCCTACCAGGCATTCATGTGGGTTCTGGGGATCCAAACTCCAGTCCTCACATTTGTGTATCAAGCACATTAATTACCAAGTCATCTCCCCAGTCCCTGTTTTGTATGCTTTAAATATCATATTCCCCCCCCCAAAATAAATAAATATCATATTCCCTTAGCCTTCAACTGAAAAAGAAAAAAAAAAAAGTAGGCATATTTACTGGCATTATTTGAGTGACCACAATCACTCAAATAATACTACGTGGAGCTAGAGAGATGGCTCAGCAGTTAAGAGTGCTGACTGCTCTTGCAGAGGATCTGGGTTCAATTCCCAGCACCCACATGGCTGCTACAACCATTGATCCGTGACTACAGTTCCAGGGGATCTGATGCTTTCTTCTGAACTCCTTGGGCATTGCACGACACAGGCACTTACACACATGCAGGCAATATACTCATACACACAAAATAAAAACAAATAAAATAAACAATACTTGACACTTGTAGATACGCTCGGGCACTGCACCAACAGCAACTACAAAACAGACCCCCATTTAAAATTATTTACTACTTTATGAGTGTTTTGCCTGCATGTGTGTAACTGCACCACATACACAATACCTGTGGAGGCCAGAAGAGGACATCAGATCCCCTGGCACTGGTGTTCCAATCAGTTTTTAGCCACCACGTAAATGCTGGGAACAGCAAGTTCTCTTAACTGCTGAACCATCTCTCCAGTCCCCAGTCTTCATTTTGATACCCAAGAATTTGAGCCATTGAATTGAAAGGCTAGGAAATTAGCAGTGAAATATGCAGCCAGGTCCTGTATTTCATAGAATTCTGGAATCTTCCATAAGCCCTATGATTGCCTGCTGTAGTAGAAACCTTTTCTCCACCTAAGTGTCTGTATTCCTTGCTAAGGGGGATATTGAGGAATTCCTCCCAGTTTCTCCAGGTGTTAAGCTTGATGCTAGGGTGTACAGGTTTGTGTAGATGGTATGATTGTGGGAGGTGGGACAAGCAGGAACTGAGGATTAAAAGGAGAGGAGTCACTAATTTAGAGGTGGTGTAGGAAGCTTTTAAATTGGAGCCATTCTGAATAGTCAGGGACATGCTGTGACCTTGGAGCTCTCCACTTGTAGGGAGATGGTCTTGCTTCTCTTCCTGTTTACAAAGCTAACTTTGTGCACAGGGGGTGCATACCAAAGTGCTTAGACATTCCCAGTGATTGCATTGCCAATATCTCAGTGTCTGCAAAGACAGCTGGGACTTTTTGGTCCCCAGTTTCCTCTGCCTGTCCTACCCCACCATTCTAGATGTCAGCTCAAATCCAGTCGATTCCATTTTAGCTGTTACTTAGAACCACCTGGGGAGCTTTATAAGCCACAGATACCCAAGTCCTACCCCTAGAGATCCTGATTTAATTATTCTTTTAGACTAACTATGGCTTTTTTAAGTTTCCAGGTGAGTTGAGGATGACCTGTTTATGTGTCTTTAGAGAAGTCCTCCCTGACCCTCAAAGTTTTACTTTTTTCCCTGGTGACAGGCCCCATGCCATTTACATGTTGTGTTTTCCACACGAGCGGTCACATGATAGGTGTCACAAAGTGGTACCAGCTGTTAAGTGACCCAGGTCCTGATAGGCAAGTCAGATTAGGCCTCCTCCCTGTGTCCTCTCATTGGAGCCTTATCACAGTTGTACTTGACCACTGACTCTCCCCAGCTGACGATAAATTCTCTCCCCTGAAAGCAAAGGTGAGAGCATTTTAGTTCATTTCTGTGTCCCCAGAGCCTAGCATTAGGCCTGCCATGTACATAGAAGGTCCTTAGTAATGATTGTTGATTTAAAAAAATTTTAAAAAAAGGAATCTTTTGGGCTGGAGAGATGGCTCAGTAGTGAAAAGCACTTCTTGCAGAAGACCCGGTTTGAATCCCAGCATCCACATGATGGCTAACATCTATCTGTAACTCCAGTTCCAGGGGATCTGACATCCTCTTCTGACCTCCACTGGCACTGCACAGCAGAGGTGCACTCACACACATTCAGGCAATACACTCATACACATAAAAAGCTAACATCTATCTGTAACTCCAGTTCCAGGGGATCTGACATCCTCTTCTGACCTCCACTGGCACTGCACAGCAGAGGTGCACTCACACACATTCAGGCAATACACTCATACACGTAAAAATTAAAATAATAAAGAAAAAATATATATATATAAAAGGAGTCTTTGTGGGACTTGAATGATACACATCTTAGAAAGGATAAAAACGATTAAAAATTGTTTGCCTTTCTAGATTGAAATCCTTTCCCCCTTTTGTTTAAAAATTGGATGAAATTAACCTTTGTATGTATATCTCAAAAGAACACCCAGCTTTCAACATTTTCCAAGACTGTTGATTACTTGTTTTTCTTTCCTTTGCAGAAAACTTCTTAATGTAGGCACATGTGTGCACATACACATATGAAAGCAGCCGCTGTCAGAACTGTAATTTAATTAGCTACAGTTCTTGTGACTCTCCCATCACTGAACATCAGAATGTTTCTTGAACTGAATTTGCTTGTGAGGCACATAAATGAAAATGATCACAGCTCTTTGTGCCAGTCAATAGGGTCGTTCAATGGTCTGTTAGGAGAGGGAGAGCTAATGCTATCGTTTCCCTGGGTCCGTTGATTGCTAAATGGACATTGCCATTTATTTGTAGGCTCCTCCTTATGGCAAGAGTGCTGTTGTCACTTCGCTAATTTTTGGAATAACTCGTGGTTTGTCTTCCCATGTCATGGATAGCGGCATTCAAGACAAAGCTAGGCAGTTGAACTTGATGACACTGACCTCCCCCATATCCCCCCCACACACAACATCCAGACAATACACATGGTATCCCTATCCCTTGATGATGACTGGAAACCACAGCCTTAGATGTTTCTCTCTCACCAATTTGTTATTTCCTAAAATTTGTCCTTCAAAACCTTTGTCCTTTTGCAGCCTACGGACCCTCCCATCCTCTGGGAGGTGCCCACTCCAGGGATGTCAACAGCATGGCCATTCCTCTCCTTCTGCCCCTATCACCCAGCTTCTGGGTTGGCTAATTTTAGTGCCATGTCCTACCTTGGCCCTGCTCTTTGCCACAACTACACCCTTAAGATTAACTGGGGAAGAGGAGCTTATGCCGACATGGGAAATCTTTACAGCCACAAAGGCCTGACATGTGTTTGACATTAGCTTTTATAAGGGAAAATTAGATTATTGGGCTCCAGGTTCCTGTCAGCCTTAGTTAATGCCCAAATGTATGTGCTTAAATAAAGTGATCACTCAGTTGTCTCTCAGCCTCAACACCTGGTTTTTATTTGTATCATTTGTTTTGATTAACTTTGGGGTTTTGCTTTGCTTCTTCTGGGGATCAAAACCAGGGCCTCCTACATGCTAGACAAATGCTCTACCGTTGAGCTCCAGTCTCAGCCGTATTAACATTTGTTTCCTGTCTGCAGTTTCTTCATTTACTGTTCATCCACTTCCTGTCTGTCTCCACTGAAACATTCCCCATGAGAACAAGGACTCCACCTCATTGCTCAGCACTGACTCCCTAGCCATGTAGAAAACACATTTTAAGTATTTACTGATAAGTACCCAAGGTACTCGCCTCTTGTTGTATTTACACACAATACTTTTTTTCTCCAATGTAATAAAATCTGTCAGCCTCAAATTAATCCCATGGTTCCCTAAATCAAAGAATCATAACCATTGGATATAAAAATTAGAGAGGTCAATCAGTTTGAAGACAGTGCTTTTTCTTGACACTCGGATATTCCACTCTGAGTTAACTCTGAATCTCGGTTTGGAGGGTGTTGTAGCTGTTGATGAAAAAGCAGTCTAGATCTTCCTACTGGGTGCTGAGTAATTGTATTATTGATTTTGCAGACATGCTGAGAGTCAGCAGAAGCACATGGCAGAGAAAATGCCTGCCAAGTGAGAAGAAGCCATCCGCCCGGAGGACACGCTAGAATTTATTTTGCTTCTGTGGTTGTAAAAAAATGCTGTTACTAAAGGTGGCGCAGAAACAAATATCAGTGTTAGTCATTGATAACGTCTGAAGCTTACTGTCCAGTGATTGGCCTTCGCTTCTTAATTTATTTTAATTTTTTTTACTCGTGCCACTTAATATCAGGCATTTTAATAAAACATTGTTACAAGACATGTACAGTACTTACACCACCAACAACCATGGGTAACCAGAGGGTAGTTTTAACTTTATTTTTATTTGTTTAGAGATTTTGAGTTGGGACAGTATTTGACCATTGACTACTTTCATTCTTCACTGTAGTTTTAAAGAAGAACTGTAAATGACGGTGCTATATAAGTCAAAAAAAAAAAAAATACATGCCTGCCTCGTAGTGAAGTCGTAGCTCCTTGTTTATGGATATTTTAATCAGTTTTCAACATTTTGTGAATGTTGACTACCTGAAGTTCACTTTTAGATGTGCTATTAACATTCTGTTGGATCCAGAGGGTTCCTTGAAAGTTTTATGTATAAATATGTAAAATAAAAATTAAAACTTTGTTTCATATGATATGTCTTTTTGATCACTAGCAAAAACTGGCTATGCCTCGTCTTTTACCACTCTGTGATTAAATACCCCACCAACTGGCTTCTGTCAGTGACAAAAACTAACTGCCCCAGAGATCAAGCAAGGTAACAGAGTGGCAGGAGAACATGAGAAAGTGTGTGTGTGTGTGTGTGTGTGTGTGTGTGTGTGTTCCAGAGACAGGGAGAGAGGGAGAGAGAGGGAGAGAAACAGGGAGAGAGAGAGAGACAGATAGGAAGAGAGAGAGAGGGAGAGAGAGAGAAAGGTCAGACCCCACATTTCTGTGTTTGCTTAAAGCTACCCATTTGGAATTCATCTTGTTAAAGCAAAAATTTAACAAGATGCACCAAAATTCCATTTTTACCAAATTTACCACATGAGCAAATGGTATTTGCATTTTCTTGTGGCACTCCAGGCATGATGTGTCAGAGCAGCTGTGATTACTTACACAAGAGCCTCACACAATTGGGCCCACTAACATTTCTCTTGTGAAAGCACATGAGACTGTTCCTCTCCCCAAGGAGCTATAAGCAGTTAGCAATTGCTGGGGTGGGGAGGGGAGGGCCTCTTCTTGGGTGTGTAGTTATCTGTAAATTGCCCATGCTCCTATAAATTAATCCTAATTCAGTCCATTGATTCAGCAAGCTAGGCTTAGGTGGAATCATGTCTTTGGTCTGACCTTGGTGCCCTATCTAGAGTGAATAGACATTTTTTCAGTCTCCCCAGGAAAACTACATGCATTGACTGTATTCCTAAGGCCAGTTGTTGCTACTGTAAAATTTTTGCCACTTTTATTGGTCTCAAAAAATTGCAGTAGATTGCAAGCTGTTTCCCAATAAGTAGAGAGAATCACAAAGCATGCTTAATTAGCTAGTGTCCATACAGGGATTGGGGATTGGAAAGAGATGAGAAATTCATCATCCTAGCACCACACCTAGACCACTGTGAGGTCCATGGTACAATCTGAAGATGGAACTTTAGGAATAACTAGCTTTGTTCTCCTTTCTCAGAGGTATTAAAATATTAAAGGTAACTGAAAGAGTTGCCATGTTTTATGTTTAGCAACATGGGTAATCTTATTTTAACACTAATCACTCTTTAAAAATATTTTATTTATTAATATTTTATGTGTATGAATTGCCTGTGTATATGTAAGTGTACCACATGCATGCAGTGCCTGCAGAGGTCAGAAGAGGGCATCAGGTTCCCCCAAAACTGGCATTAACAGTTGTTAGCCTCCATGTGGATGCTGGGAACCAAACTTGGGTCCTCTGCAAGAGCAGTAAGTGCTCTTAACCACTAAGCCATCTTTCCAGCCCCAACAAAATCACTTTTTATGGGCCTTAGCATTTCCATTCAGAATAGAAAGCAGCCAGTGAATATGGTTCAGTTCTGTGAGTTGGTTACTGTCCAAGGCAGATTGCTGCTCATCAGTGAACTCCACCACTGATTCATCTGCCATCACATACAGCCCATAGCAGCTGTCAGCAATCTGCTGGGCAGGCCTGTGGTTCTCATCTTTAGCTGCATGGTGGAATCACATGGGAGCTTCAGAAAACACTGGTGCTGGGTCCCTTCCCCAAAGATTCAAATTCATTTGTCTAATGTATAGCCTTGGCCCTTTAAAAAACTTATTACATTTATTCATTTATGTGTGTGCATGCACATGTGTATTGTGTGGGCATGCACATGCCACAGTGCATGTATGGGAAGTTGGAACTTGCAGGAGTCAGTTCTCTACTTCTATCACGGAGATTCCAGGGATCAAACTCCCATCATCAAACAACAAGGGGCTTTGCCCACTTAGCCATCTCTCCAGTCCCTTGTCACCTGTTAAAGGTCCCAAGTGATAATGTTGAGAACCATATCACAGTTTCTTTTTTAGCTTTTTGCTAAACTATGGCTTTCACTATCGAGTGTGTCCCCTCCCCAGTTAAAAAATAATACATTCTTATTAGTTTGAGCCTTTGGGAGAGCACAAAGCTAGAAAAGGCACTATGAAAAGGGCCTCTGTCCAAGCCAGAGATAGTAGTTTAGCCTTCTAAGCTTCCTGTGCTGACACTCCCAACCTGGGGGCCTGACATCGCAACTCCTCTACCAGGAAAGACTGTTGATTTTAAAAATTCCAGCCAGAATTAACCAATTCCAATAAATAGAAATGTTTTCTGCAATATACTCTCTATAGCTACAAATACATGTTCTGAAAAAATCCATTTCTCTCATCTTCTCTCTCTCTCTCTCTCTCTCTCTCTCTTTCTCTCTCTCTCAGTAGAGCAGTTCTTCCTATGATCCCTGAGACCTTCAGAGGAAAGTAACCGGTCCCTTAGCTGATGCCCCTTTCACACTTTTCCGCCTCGGAGACTCACCTCCAACAGGATTCTTTCAAGATCGGATCTTCCAGTCCTTCTTAGATTTGTCAACAAGGCCTGGGTTGGTCTCACTAAGATTCTCACCTGCACTAGACCACCCTTCCACACATAAACTGCGTTGCTTGCAGGTGAAGCAGCCTGGAACACTAAATGAACTGACTCAAAAATAGGCCACTGCCTCTTCCCCATTTGGAGAGTGAGGTCTACGAAGATGGTTCTGCAGCCAGGCCTGGCTGTGAGGAAATGATCCATCATCTTCCTAGGGATGTAGCCTTAGTAAGCCAACTACTACAGCGCTGTGTCTTTATCGCCCATTAATACCATCTCTGGAATTATCATAAAGGCTGGATAAAATCATGTTCATGAAAGCCCTGGCATTCACAATATGCTTAGTAGGAACTGTTGCAGGAGAAGCAAATGATCAGGACTTGAGTGGTGGGGGTATGCTGCGCATTCCCAGTTTCTACATTTGACATGTCCTGCGTGTTTGTTTTCTACAGATTGATTTACAAAATAGAGATGCTTGAGGAAGAAGACATTAATCCAGTCATTTAAATGTGCAAGCACCTTTTCTCCTTCTAAACACCAGTACTAGAGCATGAGATGTCTTTCTATACCCCTTTCTCTGCCTACATAAACAGATGCACATTGTAGGGTTTGTATTCTAATTTGCTTATACAAAGGCGGGGTTACATAAAACTCAGTGGTTCATGACTTGCTTTGTCCATGATTGCACACACACACAGGCACACACACACCACACACGTTGGTACAAACAGATCCAGGCATTCTTTTCTTCTTTCCTTTGTTCTTCTCCTTCCCCTTCTTTCCTTCCTTCTCCTTTTTTGAGACAGTCCCACCTGACCTGGAACTCACTATGTAGATCACACTGTCCTTGAACTCACAGAGATCTACCTGCCTCTGCCTCTGCTTCTTGAGTGCTGGGACTAAAGTTGTCCACCACCATGCCTGGCTCATACAGTGTACTTTGATCGTATTCATTCCAACCCCTCCCCTTAACTCCTCCCAGATCTGCCCCAACATCATGCCTGTTTTTACTTTAATAGCCCACTGAATCAAATTTGTGCTGCCCATATACTTTTGGATGTGGGGCCATCCCCTGGAACATGATCAACTTACCCAGAGCCACACTCTTAAAGAAAACTGACATTCCCTCCCCCAGAAGCCATCAACTGCCCCTAGATGCTCAGTTAGGGGTGGGGGCTCATGAACCCCCTCTCCCACTCCATGATAGAATGTTGACTGACTTCATCATGTGCAAGAGCTGCTGAGTTCGTTCATGAGCACAGCAGTCTCATCATACCCTTGAGATACTTTTTCACTCCAGTCCTTCCCAACCTCTGAATCTTACGACCTTTCTACCCTCTCTTCCCAATGGTCCCTGAGCCTTGGGGAGGGGGTGTGATACAGATATCTCATTTGTGGCTGAGCACTCCACAGTCACTTATTCTCTGCACTCTGATGACCAGTTGTGAGTTTCTGCATTAACCACCATGTACTACACAAAGAAACTTCTCTGATGAGGGTTGAGAGCTGCACTAATCTACAAGGCAGAGAGATACAAATTTAGAGGGCAGTTTGATACTAAGTCCATTTCACAAAATAGCAATAGGTTCACCGCTGGGGCCTGTGAGCTCTCCGACCATGGGCTCTTGGCCAATTTTTAGTACTGGATATGTGCTTCTATGGAGTGAGCCTTAAATTCAGTCAGAAAGTGGTTGATTACCCCTATAACATTCATGCCACTATCTCAGCCCTCAGCCACTTTAGTAATTACAGCCCTTAGCACAGAACCAAGCTGACAGCCCTCACTTGCAGACATGTGCATTGACTGCAAGCACTCCACTCTTCCTGATGAACAGTGCCTCCCCTCAGCTGAGGGATGAGTCTGGACTGACTTTCACTCTGGTTACTCTCTCTCTCTGTTGTCAGGTTTAATCCTCATGACTAATTCATTTTTCCTTAAGTCCCTGACCTTAGACCAGTTACCTTGCCTGAGATCTGTTGATTTCTTTCCACTGAATTTGCCATCTCTTATAATCATCCTTATCACAGATATGTCTAGCCATCTACTAAAGTCCATTCCTCTACATTCATAGGTATAGAACTGTCCCTAGGAGATGGCTCATCAGACAGGGACATTCCCCATCTAAGGTGACTCCAAGACTAATTGATGCTCCCCAATATTGGTGGATGTCTTAACTGCAGCCAAGGCCTTGAGGAGGATCTACGCAGCATGCTTGCTTCTCATACCAGTGTAATCTCACAGACCATCAAGGAGATGGCAGAGCCATAGGATGGAAGGAGTGTGGGTCCCTGCATCATTACGTGGGGACAGCTGCACGGGAGCTGTAGGATTCACCTCAGAGTGTTGTAAGAGTGAGAAATAAACTATGACATTTGAACCATGACACTTTGTTGAATCTGTTTGGTACAATAGCTAGCACTGTACTAGCAAATGCAAGCCCTTAGCAAGGCAGCCATAGTTATTTAAGAAGAGCTGGAATGGGGGCCCCAATCTCTGAGGACAGACTGTGTTAACTAATATGCCAGTTATTTTTCTCTAGAAAATTAGTGGCCCACCCTTTTCTTGTC